TGTTGTGTCTGCTTAATGTGGAGGGCATGATTTGTGTGTAGTTTTATTTTTCTTATCATTCTTTATTGTTTGTATGGCATATGTGGGGAGATGCAAGTCTAGGGAGCTGCTACCCACCTATCTGGAAGCTCTTGGGCAAGTTTTTAACTCTTTCAGCTCAGTTTCCTCATATGTAAAATGGGAATAATAATTATACCCAATAAATAGAGATTTCATGAAGGTTAAATGAGATAGTACTTATGAATTGTTTAGAACACTATCAGTCACATTTGTGCTCAACAGTTTGTAGCTGCCAATATTGTCATTATGTTATCAATGAAGTAGTGGCTTGAATAGTACTGTGGATACTGCTTTGAAAAGAAAATACCTGATACTACCTAAAGTTGACCCCTCCCTTAGTAGTGTACACCTCATCATCTTCTGCCTTTTCATAGACTGTGCTCTTTTAGCCATACTTTAGCTTCTGCATCATCTATTCTGTTTTTATTTCCCCTGACTTCCTCTTGTTGTCATGCAAAGTAGGCTAAATAAAACCCATCTTTTTTTTTTTTTTTAATCCTCGTCCGAGGACTTTTTTGCATTTGTCTTCAGATAGAGCAGGAGGGAGGAAGAGAGACAGAGAAACATCGACATGAGAGAGACACATCAACTGATTGCCATCCACACAATCCCAACCGGGGCCAGGGACAAACTGCAACCGAGGTACATACCCTTAGCAGGAACTGAACCTGGGACTCTCTGGTCAGTGGGCTGACACTCTAACCGTTGAACAAAACTGCCCAGGGCAATAAAACCCATCTTTAAAAAATCTTTCACTGATCAGTTTCCTTTCTAACTCTATCCTCCATTTCTCTGCTCCCTGACATAGTAGAGCTCTTCTAAAAAGCTGCCTATACTGGTTATCTTAATTTCACATCTCCATTTTCTTCTTAAGCCACTCATATACCCATCATCCCCCACTACTCCACTGAAACGGTTCTTACCAAGACTATTCTTGACCTCTGTCTTATCAAATACAAGCATTTCACTTCTGTGTCTTGACCCCACAGTAGCATTTCACCTGATGAACCACTCCCAATTTTGTTATTGTTTTAAATTATTATGAAGTCCTTCAAACATAAAAAAAATACTAAAACAATGTAATACACACACATATTTGCCATCTAGTTTAAAGAGTGACAATGATTTGAAGTGCCCCCCCCCCCCATATCTATTCCCTATAGTATCCCTTCCTGTGCTCCCAGATGTAGCCACTACACTGAATTGGTATTTCTTATTGGTTCCCATATTTGTTTTGTACTTTGGCTACATATGTGTTTTCCTATATAATATGTAGTTTTTTTCATCTTTTTAATTTTTATATGAAAAAGATTATTCTTAAATATCTTCTGCGACTTAATTTTTTAAATCAACATTTTGTTCGAGTTATTGCCATGTGTGACCCTAGAGTGTTTATTTTCACTGAGTATATAGTATTCCCTTGTCTGAATAGACTACAAATGATCCATTATGTTGTAAATCGACACTTAAGTTGTTTCCATTTTTCAGTTGTTACAAAAGTCCTAGGAACACTCTTATAAAAATCCCCTTAGATGTGTGTTTCTGTTTGATAATACCTAGAAGTAGAATTCCTGGGTTATAATACATTTAACTAGACTCTTCTTTTGAATCACCTTGTTCTAGGCTTCCATGATACTACCCTTGTTTGATTTTCATCTTACTTCATAGGCCAAGCAGTCTTCTCTCATTTTCTAAATCCTCATATTTTAGTATCCTGGGTATTTGCCTTTGGCTCTCTTTTCTCTATTCCCAGCTTCTGGCTTTGATTTACTCTAATTCATCTCCCATTCTGATCCCAGGAAAATCTTTATCAAATGCAATCCAGTCATGTCACTACTTTGCTTAAAGTTCCTCAGAGGTCCCCTGCTGCCACCAAAGTCCAAGTTCTGTATCCTGGACAAAACCATTAAGGATTAGCCCCCTGTGTATCTCAAATCCTACCTCTTCTTTGAGAGACCCTGAAGACCATCTCTCCAGCAGGCTGGGCCTCTGCTGAGACCATTTTCTTTGTTCACAATTTTCTTTCCCCTCACTCCTTAACTGGCTGGTAAACTTTTGCTCATTTTAAAAGATGACTTACATGTCCCCTTTTCAGGGAATTCATACCTGACACCTTCAGGTGGAAGTAAGAAATTCCTTTTCTGTGTTCTCCTAGTAGTTTTTGTTTAATCTCCATTATACTTCTTGATTTATTTGTCCAGCAAATATTTACTTATTGCCTGCTATATGCTAGAAACTATTCTAGACATTGGGTCTAGAACCATAAACAAGACAGACAGGGTTCTTATTTTCCAAGAAATCTACACTCCAGAGGGTAAACAAACATTATTTTAGACAGATAATGGGGTAATGTGATGAAGTGTGTGTGTGTGTGTGTGTGTGTGTGTATGTGTGTGGAGGGAAGTAGGTAGGGATGGGCATGACACTTCAGACTGAGGAAAATGCAGATAATGGGGTAATGTGATGAAGTGTGTGTGTGTGTGTGTGTGTGTGTGTGTGTGTGTGTGTGTGGAGGGAAGTAGGTAGGGATGGGCATGACACTTCAGACTGAGGAAAATGCGGTCTAGGTTGAGACCTGGAAGATGAGAAGGAACCAGCCATGCAGTGATCTGAAAGAAGACCATTGTGGGTAGAAGGAACAGCAAGTACCAAGGCCCTGGAGCTAGAATGAATTTGTTATGTTTAAGGATCAGAAAGAAGGCCAGTGAGGCAGGAGCATAATGGGCTGGGGGAAGGGGTACTGTGTAAAATAAAATATGAGGAGTGAACAGGGCCAGATCATGTAGGGCCTTATGGGTAAGATCTGTTGATTTTAAGTGTAGCTGGAAACCACTGGAAGATTTTACAGGAGAGAGTGACATGATCTGATCTATGTCTAGAGTTACCACTCTGGCAGAAGGGAGGAGAATTGTAGGAGGAAAGAGTGAGAGCAGAGAGCAGGTAGGAGTTGTTGCTGTAAGTGGAAAATGTTGGTAGCTTGGATTACTGTGGTATTTGTAGTGTCCATGGAAAGAAGTGGAATGACTTAGGATATATTTTTAAGGTAGGCTAATAGGACTGGCTGATGGATTAGGTGTATTGATTTTAAGGAGGGATGGAATCAAGAAAAGGACCCTTTGGCTTTTCTTGAGTAACTGGATGTCATTTACTGAAATTTGGATGACTAGTGGTGGTGACGGTGATGAGAAAGTTCTGTGTGGTAGGAATCAAAAGTTCCTTTTTAGATATTTTAAGTTGGACATGCCTCTTAGGACTGCCAAGTGTGAATGGTAAGAAGTCATTTGGATAGGTGACTCTGAAGGTTAGGGATTGTCTTAGTTTGTTGGGGCTGCTGTAGCAAATGACCAGAGACTGGGTGGCTTAAACAGTGAACATTTATTTCTCACAGTTCTGAAGGTTGGAAGTCTGAGATCAGGGCGCAGCATGTTGCGTTCTGATGAAGACCCTCTTCCAGATAGCAGACTGCTGACTTGTACTCTCACATGGCAGGTAGATGGTGAGGGGTACTTCTGGCCTCTTTATAAAGGGGCACTCAGTAGGCTCTACCCTGAAGACCCAATCACCTCCTAAAGGCCTCTCCTCTCAATGCCATCACATTGGGATTAGATTTCAATATATTTGGCGGGACACAAACATTGAGTTCATAACAGAGATGGAGATAGATCATTTTGGGAGTCAGCCACTTATTGATAATATTTTAAAGCTATGAAACCGGGTGAAATAACTGACAGTTTGTAGATGGAGAGAGAAGAGAGCTGAGGATAGGGCTTTAGACACTGCAGCATTTAGAGAATGAGAGGTAGGGGTGTAACAGGGAGTCTTAGAAGAAATAGAAGGAGAGAGTGTCAATTGTGTCATGCTGCTTAGAGTTAGAATATGATGAACGCACCGGTATGACCACTGGGTTTGACTCCCTGAAGGCCACTGTAACCATAGTGAGGGTTCCTTTAGGGCATTTTAGGGGTCAGAAGGTTGAACTTAGCTCATTCCTTTTATTAACTGCATCTGTATCTGTCACCTCTAGAGTGTGCGCTTGTCCTATTTCTTTCTAGGGCTTAGCATATAGTAGATAGTGAATTCATGCCTACAAGTTTGATTTGTGTAATACACTTGTTAACCCTCATTTAGAATGCTTTTAGATCACTGACCCTTCTCCCCAATTTGTATCCGTTCAAGGAGTATAGTCATGTGAATAATAACTTGAAGGAAACATAGTGGGAGAAGCAAATCCATTTTCATAGAGGTTCACAGTGCATCCTGTAGCATCATGCTGTGGTAAAACAGGGTGTTGCTTGGGACTCTGGAAGGCCTGCCTCAGGCTCTGGCTGCACGGCTGGGTCCTGCTGGAACTGCTGGCGGCAAGTCCTCCGGGCTCTCTGGATCGCAGTTCTTCAGCTGTCATATGTGGACAACATTAAAAATTTCTTCTTACAGGATTTTTGTGAGCAGCAAATGAGCTAATACACAAAGTAAAAAAATACTCTGTAAGAGCTATTTTTGTAAAAATAATTGAATTGTCCATTTTGTTACAGACTCATAAAGTAGATTAGATCACAGTATCATGAAATTCATATTTAGGCAGTGGCGTATGAAAGGCAACAAGTTTGGGGAGGAGATGGATCGCTGGAAAATGTAATACTTTTCTAGAAATATATAGGAAATTAATGTCTTTTGGCTTTGTTTTCTTATCTGCCCTAGATAAATTTAATCATCCTATTAGAACCAAAGAATAGACTCTTACTTTAAGATCAAATAATCAAATGTAGCTAGTGGTCTGTTTACCCCAGTGTTGCATATATCTGAAAGAATAAAATGTAGGTAGTGTTGCTTGTGATTTTTTTCTTTCTTTTTCTTTTCTTTCTTTTTTTTTTTCAGTGAAGATATTAACTCAAGGTGACAAATTCTCCCTAGGGTGATTACCCATTTCATTTTACTTCTAGGGTAAAAATCATGGTAAGAAACTCAGAAATTACTATGCAGCAAATAGCTGTCCTCCTCCTGCCAGAATGAGTAATGCGGTAGAACCTGTGGCTACTCCAGCTGTTCCAGTCCCTCCACAGGTGAGACATGTGTCAGGGTGGAAGCTGTTCTGTGAACAGATGGTCATGGGTGAAAGTTGTTATCCATGTGCCCATCAAGGTACAGTTGGGCAAATGTTCCTGAAAGGTCCCACTTGGTGCTTTTAACTCTTTGAACTCTACGGCTGGATTTAATGCATGCCAAAATCCACGAACGTTGGCTTTGGCTGTGATGCATGAAATGATGAAGCAAATATTGTTTCATGAGTCTTTCTCTATGTATTTCTCAAAATTCTGGCTTAAATGACCCTCAATGTCTAAGCTAAGCTAGAATAAAAACCAGCTAACCTTGAATAGAATAGGAGATTTTTAAACATTTATATCTTTATTGCAGTTAATCCCATTTATGTTATATTTTGCTTTCCATTAAGATCAGTTTCCTGAGATTGCCACCCCCGCCCACCTTTTCTTTTTAAAACTTCTTTGCAGAGAACTTGTATAAACTCTTTCTGGTTGAAAGTAGAGTTCCGTTCATTCTTTGAAACATAGAGTAGGTGTTTCAAGAAAGATATTCCTGTACTCAAATATCCCCTGACGTATGAAATCTACTCTTTAATCTGTCTTGAAGTATTATTTGTCCTTAGAACAATACAGTGGTCACAAATGATAACTCTGATTGAGTCTGTATTATGCCAGGTGCCCTCCAAGCCCCTTTCATGCGTTGTTTCATTCAGGGCTGGGACTAGGGTTGGGAGAGAGATGCACTCCATTTAAGGGGGAGACAAAAAAATCAGTGGTCAAGATAATGATTTAAAAATTTTAAAATTGATTTAAAAAATTCAGTGATGAACAAAATAGTCACAAACTTAAAGAAAGGATAAGTATCACTGATTTTTCTTTTGCCCCAGGCTGCAACATGGCTTGGTATGGCACAGCTACTGGTCTTTAATATTTGATATTTTGTTCCTCACTGTTTTGTTTTTTTTTTGTATTAGGTTTGATTTGTAAAAAATACTTCATTAAAATATTATTTACCTTGATTGCTGTTTTTTTTTTTTTTATGCTTTCTTAAATTTTGTGCCCATGGTAAGTGCCTGCTGTGCCTCATGCTAGTCCTGAGCCCTGACTTCATGTAATGCTTGCAATAACCTAGAGGCATTGGCCTCATTCCTCAAAGGGTAATCCATGGGCCAGCAACATTGGTCTCACCTGAAAGTGTGTTAGAAGTGCAGGTAAGCTAAGTAAGTTGTCCATGGCATTACATGTGGTGGGCCAAGGATTTCTTTTTTATCTTAGACCTCTACTTACAACTACCATGGTATAATTTTACTTTTCTGAGTGTCAGTTTTCCAGTACTTAAAGTATGGATAACAGCTATTCCTCCATACTCAAGAATTTGCGGGGGTAAATGAGGTATGTTAAACACAGAATCAGAAGACAGGAAAATTCCCAGAATGATCATCAGGCAGTGCAGTTGTCACTACGGTTTCTGGAAGGCTGCTCTAGAACTGGATGGCTGCTCACTGCTGGGGACTGCGTTCAGCCAGCTCCACCCTTGAACAAACAGCCTTAGCCTTCTTTCATAGCATAGCCCTCTGTGATGCTTGAAGACAGCTATCTGTCTCCAGAAAATCTTCTCTTTCAGGTGAAACAGTGCTATTTCTTTCAGCTGGTCCTGAGATGATATGATTTCCAGATGCCTGTATATATTTTTTTCTCCTCCAGACAGAATCTAGTTTGTCATTTTTTATTGAGTGCATACTGTTTATGTTTATTGAGTGCATACTGTCTTTCAGGCACTGTTTCCCAACCTGAATACAGTTGTTTTGGATCTGCTGGTTGTATTTTCCTAATTATGTTTTATCTGTAGCTAACTTGTAGACTCTTTGTGTAGGGGCTCACTTTTTAAATATGTGTCTGTATTAGGTAGCAAGCCCTATAAACAGTAGGTGCTCAGAAAATGCTTGTTGATGGATTCTGGGCTGACTTTACTTTTTCTAATAATGTGATTTTAGGCCTTACCTATACTGCCCTAAATCTTCCATGCTGAGTTTTTAAACTTTTTTTTTTTAAATCATTGGAGATAGTATGAGCCATTCATTATTTTGGTACATTGATGGTTGTCCTGCAAAGCCATGATTAAGTGTCTCCTAGCCTTAGAAGGAACTTTGAGGTGAAGAAGGGAATAGCTCCAGATTGTTTTTAACCTTGTTCCTTATGTCTTTGATGTCAGACGGGCTCCTTCAAGCCGGGAGGCAGAGTGATCCTGGCCACAGAGAATGATTACTGTAAGCTCTGTGATGCCTCCTTTAGTTCTCCGGCTGTGGCTCAGGCTCACTATCAAGGGAAGAATCATGCCAAGAGACTGCGGCTGGCGGAAGCTCAGAGTAACTCATTCTCGTAGGTATTGCCATTTTCTCTGAGGCCAAAGTGTTGTGTGAGGCTCACTATCTGTAGAGAGAAAGTGTTGAAATGGATCCCTGTTTAGAAGTCTCACTCTTTTAAAATTTCTTTTCTCCAGGGAATCATCAGAGGCTGGTCAACGGAGGACCCGGAAAGAAGGAAATGAATATAAAATGATGCCTAATAGGAGAAATATGTATACAGTACAGAATAATTCAGGTATCCAGTGGATTTCTACAGACCTTGGCTACCTACTGCAAATGGTTTCCTTTATTTTTATTTCTTTGAATGGTAATAGATAGCCCTGAGATTTGGGGTAAGCTGTTTTGTTTGAATCGGTCTAGTAGCTTTTCAAGCTGGTGTTTATTTCAGGTCTTATTTATTTTCTATTTAATATATTATTTATTTTTATTTTAAACTATAGTTTAAGTTTTAAGATCTTTCATTATAGTTCCTTTATATTTCTTCTGGTATTTGCCAGCTGAATATATATAAAATGCATTATAAAAATGAGCTATTTGGTTTAAAGTTGTACTGTATTAAATCCATATTTATTAGGGAAAAGAAAAAACATTATAGCAGTGATGTTTAACCAGGGTAGTGAATTAGAATTAGAGATTTCAATTAGTAAATTTGGAGTAGGACCCAGACATACATATGTTTTGAAAATGCTTCCTCTGTGATTCTGATATACACTTTCAGTTCAGAACAACCAGTTTTTAGGGATGTTTTCTGTCCCCCACCCCCACCCCCACCCCCCAGGCTCCAGTGCATACATATACCAGGTGAACAGTATGTGGTTATTCAGGTGAACAGTAAAACAAACAAAAAACAAAGAAAGGTAATTGGAAAAATGAAGCATAGAAGATAGGGACATATAGAAACAATAATGTAATATAATTAGCAAAAGCCTAAACACATATCAGTAATTACAATAAATGTAAATTTACTAAATTCTCAGTTAAAAGACAGAGGTTATAAGATTAGATTAAAAAAAGGCTGCCCGGATGGGGTGGCTCAGTGACTGAGCATTGACCCATGTACCAAGAGGTCGCCAGTTTGATTCCCAGTCAGGGCACATGCCTGGGTTGTGGGTCCAGTCCCCAGTGGGGGGCATGCAGGAGGCGGCCAGTCATGTTCTCTCTCAGCAATGTTTCTATCTCTCTATCTCCCTCTCCCTTCCCCTTTCTCTAAAGTCAATAAAGAAAAAATAAAGGCTGAAATGAAGGAAGCTGAGATAGCTGTATTAATATTAGATGAAATAAACTTTAGGTCAGACCAGAGAACAATTAGGTGAGATGTCAATAACAAAAATATTTAAAAACCTACAAAATTTTTAGTTGTTTGGAAATTTAAAAACGCTTTGAAATAACTCATGAGTCAAAGAAGAAATTATATGAAATATTAAAATTTTTTAGAACCAGCTCAGCCATTGTGGCTCAGTGGATTGAGAGGTCCCATGGACTGAGAGGTCTCAGTTCAATTCCTGGTCAAGGCACAAGCCCGGGTTTTGGGCTCAATCCCTAGTTGGGGGCGTGCAGGAAGCAGCCAATTCTCTCTCATTGATGTTTCTATCTCTGTCTCTTTCTCTCTCTCTAAAAAATCAATGTAAAGAAATTTTAGAACCAAATAGTAATAAAATATATTACATTTGTAGGGTCCTCCCCCCAAAATTTGTAGGATGCAGTAAAAGTAATATTTTGAGAAAAGCCTTAAATATTTATTATAGTAGAAAAGCATAAAATTAATAAGTTAATGGTCTAACTTAAGAAGTCAGTTTTATTTTTGACATTTTATTTTATTTTTATATTTTTTACATTTTATTTTATTTTATTTTTAATTTTATTTTTGTTACAGATGTTTCTCCTTTTTTACCCCATTGACACCCTCCTCCCCATCTCCCCCGCCCTGTCCCCAGCATTGTGTCCATGACCATTGGTTATGCATACATACATATGAGTTCTGTGGTTTATCTCTTCCCTCCCCCCTCCATCCCCTCTTCTGGGGATTGTCAGTCTATACCCTACTTCCATGTTTCTGGGTCTACCCTATTCCTCAGACTGTTATGTTCATTATATTCCATAAATAAGTGAGATCATGTGGTATTTGTCTTTTTCTGCTTGGCTTGTTTCACTTAGGATAATACTTTCCAGGTCCCTCCATGTCGTCTCAAAGGATAAGAGATCTTTCTTTCTTACATCTGCATAGTACTCCATTGTGTATATGTACCACAGCTTTTTTATCCACTCGTCTACTGATGGGTACTTGGGCTGTTTCCAGATCTTAGCTATTATAAATAGTGCTGCTATGAACATGGGGGTGCATATATTCTTTCTGATTGGTGTTTCAGGCTTCTTAGGGTATATTCCTAGAAGTGGGATCACTGGGTCAAATGGCAGTTCAATTTTTAACTTTTTGAGGTAACACCATATTGTTTTCCATTGTGGCTACACCAGTCTGCATTCCCACCAGCAGTGCACTAGAGTCCCCTTTTCTCCACACCCTCACCAGAACTTGTTTGATGATTTGTTGATGGCGGCCATTCTGACAGGTGTGAGGTGATACCTCATTGTTGTTTTAAGGAAGTCAGTTTTGTAAAAAGACAATAAAATGATCAATAATTACATCAGCATTTTTATATGTCATTCCACTCCTTCTACATATTACTTCTTTAAAATAGAAATGTGATTATATTTTGTGATATTCTTGTTTTACTTAATAGCATATTATAATCACATTTTCATGTAATTAAAATGTTTCTATTATTTTTAGTGACTGCACGGTTTTCTTAATCATAATTTTTCGAATTGTGTTTTTGGAATTCTTCTTTCCCGACATCTCCCCTGCAAAGCTTTTTATAAATACTGATGAAATAAATGTCCTTGTTAATAAATATTTATGCAAAATATCTTAATATATTCTTGGGATAATTCTTAGAAATAGAATTTTTGGATTAAAAAGTTAACATAATTATGAAACTTCATATAATGCTGGGAAATTAAATCATTTTAAAAGTTGTATTTACTTTTTAGAGATGTCGTCATTTAGAATTTGGGTTTGGCTCTACAGTAACTTTTTTTTTTTTTTTTTTTTTTAATGTTTTTATTTTTATTTTATTTTTTTTTATTTTTTATCCTCATCCGAGGACATTTTGGCATTTTTTGTACAGACAGAGTGGGAGGGAGAGAGAGGAAGAGAGAGAGAGGGAAACATCGATGTGAAAGGGACACATTGAGTGGCTGCCACCCGCACGACCAACCATGGCCGGGGACAAACTGCAACCGAAGTACGTGCCCTTAGCGGGAACCGAACCCGGGTCTCTCCGGACCGCAGGCTGACGCTCTAACCGCTGAGCCAAACCGGCCAGGGCTACAGTAACTTTTTAACAATAATCAGGGGTGGGGGACCTTTTTTCTGCCACGGCCATTTGGATATTTATATCATTCAAGCGGCATACAAAATAATCAACTTAAAAATTAGCCTGCTGTATTTGGTCAGGCTAATTTGGTGAGGCTATGTATTCGCTGGTATTGATGCTCCCCATGGGCCTGACGTTCCGTACTTCTGTATCAAACCTGTATAAAATTGTAATTTAAAAAGTCCGTTAACTTCACATTCATTTAAAGCTAGAAATCTGTGAATTTTATAATTTTAAGTTAGAAATACAGATTACAATGATGATTGATCAGACTGTTGTCATTCACTTAGTGACTATTTTGAAGTGAACACATCACTTTTATCTTTTGCTTTAGCAGGTCCGTACTTCAATCGCCGCTCTCGGCAGAGAATTCCACGTGATCTGGCCATGTGTGTCACTCCAAGTGGCCAGTTTTACTGCTCAATGTGCAACGTTGGGGCTGGCGAAGAGGTGGAATTCCGGCATCATTTAGAGAGCAAGCAGCATAAAAGCAAGGTGTCTGAACAGCGGTACAGGAATGAGATGGAGAATCTGGGCTATGTATAGTGATTGTTGTATTCAGATAGAGCAGCTCGTCCTGCCTGGTATTTGCCTTTTGTCAACATGCCCTGCTTTGTGGTCCTTTTGATATGAGTACATTCCTCTGCTTAATGTTAATACATGTAACCTGCAGTGGTACCGTGAGATGTCAAAACTGGGGAACGACAAGAATGGGCTTCTTAGGTCATGATGCTTTTCTAGGTCAATTGTGTTGAGTCACTTAGAGCATGTGACCTCGTACCCCACGAAAAATAATTTTTTATCTTGACCAAGTTCTGGTCAGTTAGTAGCCTGACCACTTAGAGCTTTAACTATTTAAAAATCTCATCCTCTTTTGCCATTTTAGTTTTATGTACTATTAAGGAAAGGATTTTATTGAGTTCTTAAGATCACAGTAAAAACAGGTAAGCAGAAATTTCAGTTTCCAAGGCTTCTTCGGAACCACCACCTCCACTCAGTGTCTTGTTGGTAGGATGTACTATTACAGACTGCATTAGAGTCTTTCCCAGGACGTCCCCCTTTATCTTGTCTTCCCATGATTGAGATGAAGGTTGTCTTGGATTCAGACACTTCCGCTGTGCTTGTGGACTTCCAAACAGTGAAACTTCACTTCCAGTTACGGATTTCGCACGTTTAAAGGCCCCTTCTTCCCTCTTCCTTTTTCCCTCTCGAGTTGAATTAACTTGTCTAGTAAGCTAATTTTCATGTCCCAGCTATGTTGTGGGATTTCCAAGCCCCACATTTGAATATCCAATGAATTTAAGATAGATATGATATTTTTTTAAAAAAAATATTTTTCAGCTGGTTTTAGAAAATGTAAAGATGTGTTTGACTTCTCAATTTAGAGTTACTTCATTGATAGTGACTTGTTACTTATATGATGGCCTCAGTCATAAGTTTAGATCTCTGGGTATTTGATTTGGCAGACTTTGTAGATAAACTGATCCTTGTATTTTACTTACATTCATCTCTGTCTTGTTAGTTGGCTGTCCTGAAAAATACCACTACCTTTCTGTTTCATAGATAGAGAGGACATTTAAAAAAGTTAATAAAATTTCAGTATCATCATTTCTAGGAGAAAAATACATCAACTTGGATTTTATTCTTTCTAATTCAGCTTTCTTGAAGTCAATAGAAATACATTATAGATTACTTGGTATCTGATGATTACAGCAGTATTATTAGTTTTGTATTTTGTTTTTAAAATAAAGCTCCATTGTATGTCTAGATTAACTAATGGTGTACTCTATGAACTTTCATTAATTGTATTTTATCTACTTACTATATTTACATGGATAAGACCGGTGCTCATCCATACTTCTTTTGAAATGCAACATGGAAGTTTATATTGAGCCGTATCTTTGCACTATGGTCAATTCACACTTGATTGCTTATATTGCTAATTAAAAAATATCAAACTCCTGTTTTTTCTTGAGAATTCTATATGCAAAGAGATGAGAGAAGGAAAATTATAATCATTATTCCTTTTCTTTAATACTTCTAAATGATTTTTGAACATTCTGGACCTATATTTAAAATTCAGATTTGTGTTTACCTCTGATACAGTAGCAGGTTACTCTTCTATTGAAGGGATGGTATTAGAAAAGTAAAATTATTTAATAATTTTTCTCTCCCCCAAACAGAAGAATAAAGTAATGTTCGGTTGAGAGTCTATCTAGACCTGTGACTCTTAGTATAATAACCCTTTGTGCAGTAATCTATAAAATACAGCTGATTAGTTTAGGGCAATTTAGAACTTGTTTTTGGTCAGTATTTATTCATTTTGCTGCTAAATATAACTTTTTAGTAGATTTTAATATTACAGTGCTGGCCACTAGGTTCTATTATTTAAAAATCCCATTTTCCCTTCTCTCTGTATGTGTATTTATATACATACACACACACACACACATAAAACTATAGGTATATTCTTTTATGTGATACCATAGAGATTTCATTGAATTCTTATTTCAGATACAGAAACAGATTGTGGATAAAAATTTACATTTTGTAAAAATGATATTCATCTACTTTCACTTTTTCCTTTGCAAATAAAATTAAAGGAAGGGTTTTCCTCTCTCTCACTACTTAACAATTTTATTATACATGCAAAGTAGTGGATTTAAGGCCTTGGTGTTTTTTCCTGGCCTTTTGTATTCAGGTCTCCAGTCTCCCAGTGCCCTTAATGGATGTTAGGAATGCATAAACACATTTTCTTTTAAAGAAAAGAGATTTATAGTGTTATTTCTTACTTGCTATATTTCTTTGCACTAAAAAAGAGCTATGTGTTTGTTTTATATGACACTTTAGCTACCATATTGCCTACGATAACTCAGTTTGCTCCTTAATTTCTAAACTCTAGGAAGTTCATAAATAACTTCCATGATCATTTATAGAGGTTATATACACATCCCCCCTAAAATTAGCCCCTACAAATCCCCATGACAGTGGGTTGTGTTCTGGGCTTGTTACCTTGCAACGTTCTGTGTTCTATAGGTGAAACAAGGGTGACAGAGGCTGTCAGAAAGGAAATGCCTAGATAAATACATCTCTGCATCGTACAGTTTCTCATACTCTCGCATTCCTTATAGGCAGTGTTTTTGCCCTGTCAAAGAAGGTTGTTACTACTGCAGTCAGTGACCTGTGATCTCTGTTGATTTCATGTGTGAAGTCCAGTCCTACTCTGTAATGTGCTTTAGAATCTGCACCCTGTGCTCCCCAGGAATGATGTTTGTGTCTTTTACATGCTGTCTACAAGGATGGACCGAGGCCTAAACAACGGAAAATCTGTAGTCAGTTAAATTAAGTAGATTTCAGTAATCATCTGCAAGAACTCATGGCATCAAGTCTCTTTGCTCTGTGAATATCTTTGTGTAAATTGTCATTCAAAATCAATGTTAGAAGATGATAGAAACTCTTCTAAGATATTGAGGACAAGAAGTTGTAAAGGGAAAATTCCATGTCCCAATTAAAAAAATTGGATTGTATATGCCTTTGAAGTGTTTTTTTCAAAAAGTGAAGCTACAAAACCGAATGTGCCATGTATTGCTTTTGACTCCACATTGAACAGAAAATACTTTGTTGATCTTGTCTTTGTATATCATGTACTGCAACTTGTAAATATGTGCATGTTGTTTATTACATTTGTCTGCCTGTCTCTTATTGCACTGAATTCCATAGTGAATACTTTTTGTATACCATCCATTTTGAAAATGTTCTTCCTTACTATTTCCCCTTCTAATGGGCTGGTACACTTGGAAAACCATTTAGGTTTTTGAAACCCTGAGACTGAGTGAAGAAACGTGGCTGAGGTCATCCTTATGTCCCTCTGACCTGAACAGTTAAAAGGAAGCATGAGATCTTCCACTTTATTTTGCAGAGCTGTTCTATGCCACTGGTGCACCTGCCATGGCTACCTAACTAAGCTACACTTGGAACGAATGTTTATATATATATATCTTCCTCTGTAGAGATGTTAAGGATTAGCTGTGGGATTTATGATTCCTTCACTCCTGAATTGGTTGGAATGAGGAGCAATGCCAGTTTGAGGGCTGCCCAGTGACCTATGTAAAATGAGTTTGCTTATGTCAGGGGAGACATGTCATCCTGCATAGCATCCTCTCCAGAGTGGCCTAGGAACGGTGGATGTGGAACCTAATCTGTTTGGTTTCCTCAGTGTCAGAACTTGGGCTGGAAGTACTCTGTGAAGAACTTGGTGAGGCATGTAAGGATGATAGAGTTACTTTAGAAATAGAGAGCTGTCTTGTCAGTACAGGCAAAAGTTTAATGCAGGCTGTTGAAGAGATGTTTAAAAATATTCTTCCTTAGCACTTTTTTTTTTTTTTTTTTTTTAACCAGCCAAATTGCTGTTCAGGAGTTTCATACATAGTAGTGCTTTGTTGTTGCTTTTATTATTATTTTTGGTGGTGGATCCCTACTGTTGTGAGTTATCAATCTAACTGGATGGACAAATAGGTGTGTAAATAGCTTCCCATACAACATTTCTTCTGATAGCTTTCTTGACGTTTTCTTCCCATTATGAATGGGAGGGTCATTTGTAAACTCCCTTTCTGGGTAGCTACCAAAAAAATAAAAAAGATACTGGCTTATGGTCCCATGTGACCCTGTCTTTATTAAGCCCAGATATGAGTGCCTTTAGCAAGTTTTAGCATTTCACAGAGAGAAGAGATGACAGAATTATTGCCATTAATCACAGTTCATTCAATACAGAAGCTTGGAATAGCAAAGGTCTGTGTGAATTCTGTGTACTACATATTTTTTTTTCCTTAATGCAGTCTCAATTTGATAATGAGTTAAACTGTTATTAGTATTGATCAGGAACCGTATATCCTGAAAATGAATTCAGTTGTCATAGGCTGGCAACAGTCATAGATTATTTTTCACTTTTATCTGTCTTACATTTATATTTAGTGGATGGTGGTGTGGTGGATTGGGAAGCTTGACACTGATGTTTGTAAAACTTCAGTGTTCTTTTTCAAACTTGTGTCTTCTATAGAGAGGAGAGAATTATGTATTGCAGATGAAGTGTGGGAAGATATTGTCATGTACAATAAATAGTAATTGTATTACTTTGTCTCTACATTAAAAGAAGCATCTTCATAAATCAGATCTGAGGCCTTTTAAAGCAAAAATTTCCCTGCTTTAAATTTTAAAAATTTAAAATTGCTGAGTACTTTGAGTCTGTAAAACACACTGCTAAATTAATTTTATTGTAGAAATTTAACATTTTATTATGAAAATGTTCAAACACATATCATAGTTGAAAAAATTTTACAATATACCCACCACTAGATTCTACAATCACTTTTATATACTTGTATTACCACCTCTGTCCATCTCCCTGTTCATCCATCATTCCACAGTTTATTTTAAATACACATTTCAATGTAAATTTCAGATACTACATTTCCCCTAAACACTTCAGAATAGGTGTCATTAACTAGAGTTTAATATTTGTTTAAATATCAATATCTTTTAAAAACAGCATCTCAATCATAAATTTAGATTTTACGTTCCTTGAACTCATGATGTTGATAGCCTGAGCCAATGAACATACACTTCTTTGGACTGTGGCCTTCAGTTTCTGATTTTGTATGTGCTTAGAGTGAGGGAAGACAACTTTCAAACTGAAGTTTTCTCCTGTTGGTCATTTTAAATGCTTCATTGTCATATGTCTTAAAGTTTCATGATAAGACTTTCTCCCTTATCCTTGTTGTTTGCTGAACTATGCAGCTTCTTTAAAGAATTGTGAGTTACTGATTGGGGTTTATTAAATCAGCTTATACCTCATTTCAAGCTGCTGCTGCTTTTCTCGTGGTACCACACTTCCTTCAGCACTTGCACCTGTTCTACCAGAAGTAGAGCGTCAAACCCACAGACGATTAGCTGTTTTAAAAAACTCTAGAACCGCAGATTAAGTAGTTTGGAAAGTTAAAACCATTACTTATCTAAAATCTTTGAGTTCCCTGAGAATGGTAATTGCCCATGCTTTCTTTAGCCATAATTAGCAGGACTGGAAATGATTGTATTGTCCAATGAGTTGTTGAAATTGTGAGCCTCAGTAACCACCTTTAGCTTTAGTACTGTTTGGAAAAAAATTTTTTTGACGTATGCCTTTATTATACCAATTTTTTTGTGGACAAAGAATCTCAGTGACTTGCTCCCTCCAGGGCATGAAGGGTAGTGGCTGTGTTGGGATGGAAACTCCAGCGCTCTCGATTCACATTCTTGTCCTAGTTTGATAAGGTTCATGGCTTCTAAAATAACACTTCCTTTGGGGCCCTTAAAATAAAAATATGTATTTTTATTAATTAGACTTTCATTTTTAGGCATATCATGACTTTTTGAACTTAATGAATTTTTTATGGGCTTGGTTCCTTATTAGGCCAATGGAATAGCTAAAAAATATCACTTTGTTGTTGAATACTAACCAATGCAGGTTTTATCCGATTTATTTTTGCATTTCAATGACTTTCATGATTCACTCATAACTCTTTCTATGTAAGTGCTTAAGTGACCCCCTCACTAGTGAAAATAAATGTTCTGTATCACTGATTATATGTATATTCTCTACATGATCTATTTTTTTAAGGAAAAGTAACCCCATGTGTCAGAATGAACAATATTATCTTAGGGCAAAGAACATGTAAAGTTTATTTCTACTCTGCAAATCTGGCATTAAGGGAACAAAACTCTTAAGAGTGGCTGGTCATTGTTTGCCTTCTTTTGGTACTTGAGCACCTTTCTGTGGTTTTGTGAATTCGTGTGTCATTTTATAAGGATTTCATGTTGATTCTGTGTTAGTTGATGTTCACTTGTGGTATCCTTGGCTGCCCACAATGATTTAATTTGGGTATGGTGTGTCTGCTTTGAAATGCCTTACTAAAGTATGTCAGACTGCTCTAAAGCATTTCATGTATCTGCTAAGACAATACATCGCCTCTCTTGGATGTCTGCTCTAGATCCAAAAGCAAAAATGACTTTGCTTTCACTGTTAAGGTTGCATTTTAGTGCAGTTGTTGTTTTAAATTAGAGAATAAAATCATGGAAAACCAAGGGAGATGTTAGAACCCTTCATTTAATGGCATGGCAAGCTTTTAAAACAGTTTTGCTATTTCACTAAAAATGTGTCTGGTAAAGGATATAGCTAAAAAAAAAAAAAAAAATGCCAGCCAAAACTGTGAAATTGGGATTGTTTCCTAAAATTATTTCTAAATGTCCTACAGGGGCTTAACATCTGTGTATGCTGTTGGGGCTAAGTGCCAGTCACCGCAGTGGAAATCTTTTCTGTGCTGGGGCGACAGAACGGACAAAAGTGTTGTGGGATTAAAACCAATCAACTGTGAATTGTGAAATTGCTCTTTTGGTTTTATTTCTTCTGCATATTGAATATAGAAATCAAAAAGTTATTTAAAATTTACACTGCTGATGTTGATGGCTTGTTTTGGCTGTGTATCCTCACCATGTACTGATT